TTTGGGTTTTTTTTTTTTTTTTTTTTTTGTGGTTGGCCAGTACAGGGATTGAATCCTGGATTCTGGTGTTATCAGCATCATGCTCTAACCAACTGAGCTAACCGGCCAGCCCCCGAGCACCCATTTTGACAAAACATAAGGGTTCCTTTTTCTGTGGGTCTCAATGCCTGATGCCAGGCTGGACTTGGCTTGATATCCTGCTCACATTCTCTTCAGTAACTATGTACCTAAGGCAGAGAGAGCAAACTGGCAGAAGCTTGCAGATGCTTTTTGTTTGGCCCACACAATTTTTTAAAAATGGGAATTAGTTGTCAGCATTGAAAAAGTGGGAAATTTCATATAAAAATCCAGACTTCTGGCTTTTCTTAAAATAAAATAGAGGCCATGTGAAGTCTGGGCCTGCATTTCTACAGGAGCTGAGTGGTGGTTGCCCCTCTTCACGCAGGACAAGTACTATCCAGGTCACCTCAGTCCCCACCACTTTCTCACCTCCGGCCAGCTTCCCTTGTGGACATTTTCTTTTTCTTTTTCTTTTTTTTTAAAGATGACTGGTAAGGGGATCTTAACCCTTGGCTTGGTGTTGTCAGCACCACGCTCAGCCAGTGAGCTAACTGGCCATCCCTATACAGGATCCGAACCCATGGCCTTGGTGTTATCAGCACCACACTCTCCTGAGTGAGCCACGGGCTGGCCCTCCTTGTGGACATTTTCTTTTTCTTTTTCTTTTTTTTTAAAGATGACTGGTAAGGGGATCTTAACCCTTGGCTTGGTGTTGTCAGCACCACGCTCAGCCAGTGAGCTAACTGGCCATCCCTATACAGGATCCGAACCCATGGCCTTGGTGTTATCAGCACCACACTCTCCTGAGTGAGCCACGGGCTGGCCCTCCTTGTGGACATTTTCTATCTGACCCTATAGACATTTAAATTTGTACTTGTGGACCAAAGACACCTTCCAAGGACTTGCAGAACAGGGCTACTCCTGCTCCTGGGCTGAGATTAGAACCTTGGACACTTGGGGGCCTTTCAGCAACTGAAACTGGCTGAAAGTATAAAAATCATTCCTTTTGAGTGTGATACCCTGCCTGCTGGGAAGAGCCCCAGGTTTCTAGGCAGAAGATAAAAGCAAAAGCCCCATTGCTTCCCAGGGGCTCCTGGCTGATCAGAGGAGAGCTGACAGCTTTTTCTAACCCAAATGGCCTGAATGTGGGACACCCACAGCTTTTCTCCAGCCTCTCTTCCTCCAGCACCTTTTCCCTCATTGTCCCATGGCCACCCACACGTGGAGCCTGTGCATAAGCTGTTTGCACTAGTTTATTCTGTCTTTTCTACTGGGTGTGCTTTCTCAAAGCCTAGCACCAAGCCATGCAATTGGGCTGCCAGAAGAGCCCTTCTGGTGACAACAGACACTGACTGACAGCAAGGGAATGTAGCACACGTAGAAAGGAATAGAGTTCTAATACTCTTCAAAGCTACTTATTGTAAGACTGGCATGCTTTTTGCCCTAGCATTGGTTCTGCCAAGAAAAGGTGAGATCAGGCTGCTCCTTGAAAACCTGGGAATCATTACATCATCTCAAAGACCTGGGGAAACTTACTCAAAAGGGAGATGGTGGGAACTCAAATCCCACAAACTAGTTTCAGCCTCAACATCCAAAGGAGAAGGAAAGAAAGACATTTGTTGAGCTCTTACAATGCTAGGAACATTTACATGCATCATCTCAATCCCCACAAAAATTCCTTGAGGTGGAAATCAGCCTTTTGATTTTAGAGGAGCAAAAAATGGGCTACAAAAGTTAGGAAAGTTGTCCAAGACAACTTAAGAAGTAAGCAGAGTGCCAGGACTCAAACCCTAATCTGTCATTCAGACTGGTCACAGGCCAGCTCTCCCAGAGCAACCTCATTCATCTTTCTGCTTTTTGTTCATAACTCTGTTATTACATGACATATTTATTCATGCATTTGTTGTCTGTCTCCCCCAACAGAATGTAATTCCCTGAGATGGAGACTCTGTCCATCTTGTCACTGCCTTTTTCCTGCACAGAGAACAGTCTCTGGCAGCTGGTGAGCCCTCTGTGAGTATTTGCTGCTGGACCGATGGGAAGAGCAGCTCTATCTGCCTCACTACACTGTCATCTAAAAGCCTCTCTTCCTTTATCTGCTCTTTAATTCCTTTACCTTCCACAAACCCCGAAACACCAATCTTACAGGCCAAGGAAAATAACAGAGATGATAAATGGCTCCCTGTCCCTTCAGAAAGGGAATTTTAGAGAAGGTCATGTTCCTGGAAATCCAAGAAAACTCTGTGTGTAGAGATAAGTTTGCTCCTTCAAAGGTAACAGTCTTCATGTTGAGGAGGAAGCAAGGTTTATTGTGGACTTTCTCCCTTCTAAGGCTGGAAGGCTTTGGCTATCCCTTCTAACCTATGCTCACGTTGTGCTGCATGCAATTAAGTGCTTGGAGAGTTAGGATAACAAAGCAACACAGGTGGGATTAATCAGAAAGTAACAGGGGCACAGAAAGCATCTAAAAAGCACAAACTCTTCCCCAAAATTAAAGTAAGGATCAATCAGAGCAGTGGTTCCCAAACCTGAATTACTTAGGGCAGTGGCTCTCAAAATGTAGTCCCTGGACCAGCAACATCAGCATCATCTGTGAACTTGTTAGAAATCCAAATTCTCAGGCCCACCCCAGACCTACTAGAATCAGAAACTTCAGGGGTGGGACCCAGGAACCTGTGTTTCAATGAGCCCTTTAGGTGACTCTGATGCATACTCAAATTTGATAACTACTGTCCTAAGAAACATTTTTATACAAATTCTTGGGCCCTGAAGATCCTGATTCAGTAGATCTTCCGAGTTGATTCAGACTTATAGCCAGATGTGAGAACTACTAAACCCGAGGACTCATCTTTTCCTGGCCCCAGGACAGTGCCCTCAATTCTAAACCCACCTCTCATCATCCCTGTGTTACTCACTCACCACATAGAGCAATGATGTGGCTGCTATCTTCATGCACAAACTTCCTGGTGACAGCCTCTTCCATGATTTGCTTCACCTGTGGACAAATGGACAGCATTGTTATTTTTATTATTTTTTTCCTGAACAAAAGCCTCAGGGCAAGTAAATAGCTTGGCTCTGCTCTTCTGGTCTGGATTTTCAGACACTTGCAGAGACGATAAGGAATGGGTGGGGTGGGGAAGCAAAGTTTCTTCATCATGGCCTGCTCCAAGCCTTTTGGAAAGGAAACCAGGAAAACAGATGACAAAAACCCACCAACCAATCAGTGCAGATGTTCTGGCCCAGGTGGAAGCGACCTGCCTTGGGGAACAGGGATAGCATTCTGTTTGCTCATCTGTAGTCAACTGGAGAAGGGCTTCTGGGCAGACGCTGTCCTTTATGAACAAACTGTCTTGGTACAGGCTGTAGATAAACAGCCTGCCCCTCTTTTTCTCCCCTTCGCCGAGGTTAGGGATAGGTCTACCCATGCCTCAGGGACACTTTCTGCATGTTCACAAGTCCAGCCTTCTTTCTAGCTAGGTTCTAAGACCCTGATGTTTTGGGTTCCTACCTGGATGTAAAAGCTTCCAAATACCTTATCTGGTGAGCAGTCACATATTTCTTTAAAAAAGCACTTAAAAAAAAAATTTATTGTTTACTGTTATTGTGCAGTAGACATATAGAAGAGAGCTTATATCATAATTATGCAGGTTGGTGAATTTTCACAAACTGAACTCTCCTGTGAAACCAGCATCTACAGCAAGAAACAGAACATGTGCCCAGCACCCCAAAGCACCCTCCACCCTGTCATGTTCCCTTCCAATCACTACTCCCACCCACTATACTGACTTCTAACATCATGGGTTAGTTTTACTCGTTTTAATACTTTCTATAAATGGAATCACTCAGTGTGTCATGTTTTATGACTGGTTTCTTTTGGTTGCCTGTGTGACTGAGATTTGTTCTTTTTGTATACAGGTGTAGATTGTTCATTCTTCACTGTGAGAACAATTACAATTGCATGGGATTTTGGTAGTTTCCAGTTTTGGGCTGTTATGAATAGTGCTGCTATGAACATTCTGGACATGTCTTTTGGTGAACATATGTGCTTGCTTTTTTGGATTTATATTTCTAGGCAAGGAATTTCTGATCTGTATATTGCGCTTTACTAGATATTGCCATATTGCTCTCCAAAGTGGTTGTCCGAATTTACATTCCCATCAGCAGTGTATGAGATTCTAGTGGCTCCCAATACTTAAGCCAAGTACTGTTGATGTTCTGGGGGAGCCCGCTAGGAGACAGATACTGATACTAGAGATTAGAAAGGTGCATTACCTCAACCCCAGTGCAAAATCTTTCAGATAAAGTAAGCCCTGGGAAGAGCTAGTATTTGCTATTCTTTGGACAGGCATGCAGTGTCCTGATGCCACTCCGGCTCCAGTGGTCTTCACCCAGGACTGTACAGTTTGGAGGGTGGTAGAGCCTCAAAAGCCTGGGGACGAGGGAAGAACTCGAGGCCCCTCCCTGCTAGAAACTGCTCAAGCTTATTGGTTAGGTAAAAGGGGATCAGTTCAATAAATGCAGTCTAAACTGTTAAAAGCTTCCTAGATTACTTCCTAAGGGGTGTTTGCATTAAACAGAGTATAATGTCACAACTAAAAACCTGTGGGCATCTGAATCAGGCTGGTGGGGCAGATTTTTGGGTTAGGAAGAACTACAGATGCCCTTAGAATTACACCAGAGGTCCTTTGTGAAAGGTCTCTGTTGTCTCTTCTTGTAGAAGAATATATTTCTCTGGAAATCAAGCGCTGAAGGGGGAAGGGAAATCCAAGAGTACTTCAAAAAGTTCATGGAAAGGGCTGGCCCGGGGCTCACTTGGGAGAGTGTGGTGCTGATAACACCAAGGCCACAGGTTCGGATCCCATATAGGGATGGCCGGTTAGCTCACTGGGTGAGTGTGGTGCTGACAACACCAAGTCAAGGGTTAAGATCCCCTTACCGGTCACCTTAAAAAAAAAAAAAAGTTCATGGAAAAATTCAGGGCTGGCTGGTTAGCTCAGTTGTTTAGAGCATGGTGTAATACCAAGGCCAAGGGTTTGGATCCCCATACTAGGTAGCTATCAACACCCCCCCCCCCAAAAAAAAAGAAAAATTTGTATTCTCTTTTAATTCTATTTTTCCACAAACTTTTTGAAGTACCCTCATACATAGAGTTCAGAGCAGGTCAACCTTTGTCAGCTAAGGTACATAACTGCAGCATATTCTGGACATTTCTTACATTTTTTTAGGAATTATTCTTGGAGTAGTACAGACAGCTTTCTAAGCACTGGGAAAAGAAAATCATTGTCTTCTCAAAAATCTTTCCTGCTATCCCTGGCTAGCCCCCAAATTTGGATCACAGAAATAATCCTAACACATCAGTCTATAGTTTGGGTACAGCTACTTTTCTATTTTGGTTTCTACTCTTCCTATAAGTCTCTGTCACTAGACTGCTTTCTTCCTGAGGATAATCACTGAGATTTCTCTTCTCCTTAGGGAGAGCAGAGTTTGCGGCTTAAATGCTGATTTGACATATCTCTGGGCTAAGAAACCCTTCCTTGGCCACTTCACAGCAAAGGCACAATGAAGCTTCTCAATCTGGAAAGGTGGATGGCTTTAACTACATCTTTGCCAAGAAGAGGGAAGGGAACAAATGTTATGCCTTAATAGCCAGGCCATAGCTAATGCAGGGAAAGCATCTAGAGCTTTCTAGGATTTTTTTTTTTTTTTTTTTTTTTTTTTGCAGCTGGCCAGTATGGGTATCCCAACCTTTGACTTCGGTGTTAAAACACCACACTCTAACCAACTGAGCTAACCAGCCAGCCCTAGAGCTATTTAGGATTTTATGAGAACTGAGTCTTCCCTAATCCTGAAACTCTAAGAAGGGGTAAAGAAACCAATATGGTAAACTATTATATATGAGGTAGATAGCATTATCCCTATTTATTTTATTTTTCTGTTTTGTTGGCTGGCCGGTAAGGGGATCCAAACCCTTGACCTTGGCGTTATCAGCACCACGCTCTAACCACTGATCTAATTGGACTGCCCCTCTATTTTAGAGATGAAGAAATTGAGCCTCAAAGAGGTTAAGCAACCTACTAAAGTCACACAGAGCTAGTCCAGAGTATTCCAAAGTTTATGCTTTCCCACTAGGCCTCACAATCTCCAAGATCAGCAGATTTATTTACCAAATAGTCACTGAGTGCCTACAGTGTGTCAGGCACTGGATACAGCATAGTGGACAAAACAGATGGGTTTCCCCGTCCTCAAGGAGTTTACACATCTGGTAGAAGATAGTCACAGAGGCAGGTGAGGGAAGGAGGCCTAATCCATTCTAATTTAGTCTGCGGGTTTGAGCTCTCCAGCTCTCATACATGGGTGAGTCATTCATATGGGCACCCCCTCCCCCAAAGGAATTGAAATGGACTTCAGTACAGGGTCAAGGTAATGGGGGTTAGTAGAGGGAAGGACTATTTCCTCTTTCTGACGTGGAGTGCTCCCATCAAAAGGAAAAAAATCCGAGTTTTTAAAACCATCCTGGAAAAAAAATAAAAATAAAAACTCTGGTCCCTGGGTAAGGAGGTGGGCGTGGAGGGAGAAATAGTAAGGTGTGCTGCGAATCCTCCAGCAGCCACGACTCAGTTGCCAGAGGGATACCGGAGGGGGGTGTAGGACGAGGGAAAGCTAGGGAAAGCTAAGCCCCCAAACCACCCGCTTAGCGTTGCAGGAGGCCAGCGCGGGCCCCGCCCCCTCCCCAGGAGGCGCGGGCAATGAATGGGCAGCTCCGGTTCTCCAGAAAACGCTGCCACCCCTCCCCCGACCTTGGTCTACCAGCGCTGCTGCCGTCACAGGGCGGGGAGCTGCAGGACTGCGAAGCAAACAAGCCTCGGAGCGCCGGCCTGGACCCTCGGACCGAGGGGCGCTGCCCCCCGATCCGCCAGAGGGAAGGGAGCCGCAGCCAATCCAGGACCCCGCCCCCGCCCGGCTCAGGCCGGGTCCGAGGGCACCCGCCGGGAGTGGGCGCGGACCTTTCAGCCTTCTGGGCCGAGCGGGCCGGGGCGCGAGCCCCCTGGGGTCTTAGCCCCGACTTTACCTCCTTTTTCACGTTCCACAGCAGTTTCTCTTTGACTGCGTCCTCCGCGCTGCCCATGGTGCGGCGGGTGGCTGGGAGGCGACGCCTAGCGGACCCCCAATCCCCCCGTGCGCCCTCGCCGCCTCCGCGCCTCTCGGCTCAGCGCCCCACGCGCAAGGCGGAGCCCCAGCCCGCCGCGCTCCCCGCCCGCCCCC